TGCTTTCCTATGGCCTTCCAATGCTTTCGTATGGAAAGCATTGTGATTGGCTGAGTTCATCAAATGTGATGATCTCAGCCAAAGAGGCACAGCAAGAGTGAGGCCCAATGTGAGGAGACCCGTGCGGCTCTGGTAAGAAGGTGCATAATCACCTTTTTAACAAGGGGTAAGGAAAGCCAGAGGCCTAAATGGCTATTATAAAACTATACTGTCAGGAGTATACATTTTCACACATAGTCCTGAAACTACATACTGCATACCAAAACAAAACCACACAATGCTGTTTTATATTTATATATAAAATTAAAATTTTATTGTCAGTTATTCCTTGGTAAGTGATCAGCTAGCAAATTTCCAGTAGTTTCTCAAAATGAGGATAACTTTAAAGAAACTTCTATGACTAATGGGGTCATTCACTAAACAACAGGGCAGTTATAAATGGGGGTACATGGTGTTCCCCACCCGTTAGTGGGTGGTGGACATGCCATGGTGATTATGTTCACCAAATAATCCCCTAGCCAACACCATTATAAATAATGAAGCAAAAATATTGAATTGAAAACAAAGATGGAAATATTAAAACAGCAACGAACTAAAGGTAATCCATCTTCGCCCTGCGATTGCGCGTTGCAGATTGACCTCTCATAGCGGGGAAAACCCTTATAAAGTCTTTCCCATGCTTTGTCAGCATTAACATCGTGTTGAAAATTTTCCCATGCTGCGCAATAACAGCAAGCCTACTCTTGGGATTTGGCTGTCAGAGCATTCAAACTTTTTTCCATGTGGCATTAGGTTCCCCCCCATTTTATTATGTAGAGTCCCCACTTCTAGATCTGGCTAGAAGTGGGGACTGACGTCATTCCGTTCAGACTTCAGCATATTGTGTCGGTGTCGCAGAGGAGATTTTGCACAGTTCCGGAAATATCTCCAAGTAGAACAAACCAAAGAAGTGACTAAGCAGAGCACAGGTGGGGTGGAGTGGAGGTGGGTGTTAACACCCACCTCTGTGACAACATTGCAGAGCTGGTTTAGAAAGTGAGTTAAGTTATAACTGATTCCCTTTAAAGTAAGTCTACATTGGGGTAAGCTCACAACCTCTGTGTAGACCATGTCCCAAGAGGAAAACACTCCTCGTAGACCCCCTTGAGGAGCTACAAAACTCTAGTCGAAATATAGAAGGTCTCATTAGTGTCCAAGTAGTAGTGCATCAAGTCCTTTGAGTCAAGCAAGGTGAGCTACGTTTTCTACAAGTCCTTGAGTGCTGGCTTAATTTGTATTTTTGTGCTGCTGAGCACCGGGCATTTAACCAGGAGGAAAGCAGGAGTGCAAAACTCCAACAAATTGTGTGTATATATATATATATATATATGTGTATATATATACATATACACACACACACATATACATATACACACCATGAAATTATTTTTTAACTTTTTTTTTTTTTTAGGTAGTTATGAGTCATTTGAACCATCATGAAGTATAACACACCAAACAAAATATATATTTCATGTACAGCTTTCACATTGTATTCATTTGAACAAATTGTGATGATTAATAAATTAGATTATAGTTTGATAATTGATGGCGCCATTTTACTTGAGAAGTTGGTACTCTGTTAAAAATGTAGCAAATATCACCAGACGAACAACGAAACGAACACAAACAGACCTAATAAGGAGCCCAGACTTACATAACTGACCCCAATAATGACTCCCTGGAAACGACTGAACATCAAGAGACCGGAAAACGGGGCACACACACCTTACAACCTAAGCAACTGTAGTCTACAAACCGGACGACGCATAGGCCCCACACGCAGAACTGGCTCACAGCCCCAGAATAAGGTCACAACGAACCGCGTAACACACAACAAAAATAAAAATAAAACTACACAACAGCCAACCCCTGACCTCTAATATAGATACACGCACAGACCGCAACATTCCACGACAAAATACATAATGAGGGACGCTCTACACACTCACACCACACACACAGACACCTCTGTCACCTTCCTCACTTAGGGCAGCGACACTTGATACCGGGGGTGGAGGAAACCACACAACTAGACTGGACATGCGAGGCCACCACACACTAGGATCTAACTCCACTTGTCCCATCCATCCCTGAAGGCCTGAGCGCCACGGTGCTAGACAGGTCTATCTGTGATAACCTAACGTTGAACCAAAATACGTAACAAGAGGCCTCCAGACGACAAGAGAATACCAGTATACGAGAAGGGACCTGCGAGTCCTCAGATGTCAGAGGCCTACGAACCCACATAGAAGCCTCACACAAATACCTAATACAATACACTGCACGGTTTACTGGGAACCTACATGATTCACACTGTCACTAATCTGAAAATATATGATACACGGATAAAACGAGAAATCTAAACTGTAGAAATGCTACCTTTACCAAAAATGTGCCTGACCTGCAAATGTCACAACATGCCTTAGTCTCATCACATTTTACGTAGCAAAGTTTTAATAACTGTTTGTTATCTCAGTTAAACACTCACGTTTAGCCTTTGTTATTAAGCATGTTATTAGCTTAAAGGCAACGCTCATACTCTGTATGCATGTACTCATTGAGAATGCATATCACTAATGCTGATATATACACTCTATTAGCAACGAACATAAGTATTTGATACGACTTTAACCTGACTCACACTTTATCTACCAAATGCATGTCTACGATAATGCATGGTCTACTGTTACTCCTTTAAAAATCTGTCTAGACAGGCAATACTCCTGGTTATTATATGTCTTTGTTATACGACATGACAAAAAATAAATAAAAAATGAGGCATCACTTTACAGGAAATGTAATTTCTCAAAGCCAACGATGTACTACCCCTATATTGTGAACCGTTTATACGTTTCCCTCTCTTTACTTTGTACCCCATTTCTTATGCTTCAATAAAAGAAAGAATGTTGCGGCAGGAATAAAAAAAAAAAAAATTATTTGGGGCTAGGTATAATTCTATAAATCCTTCCCTAATAAGGGTGGTTGGCACATTATTTTGTTAATCTGCACCCCAATATGAAGTCTGCAGGAAATTACTTCCAGAATTCGATGCAAATGTTTGTTTTTTACATGACCTTGTTTTGCAAATGGAATCATTTCACAGCTGGAAGTTTGTACTTTTATATCTATATATAGCCAATATTTAGATAATCTGACAACCAAGTGGCAATGCAGCAGTTAAGCCAGTGTACAGATCTGAGGTTTGGTGATGAGCAGGGCCGTCTTTAACACGGGGCAAACGGGGCAGCTGCCCCGGGCCCTGTCCCTGCTCGGGGGGCCCAAGACAGCTGCTCCGTTTGCCCTCTGCCTGCAAACTATGGGAGCCCATCGTGTGGCCCATGCACTTAGGGCCACCCGGTGGGCCTATGTCAGCAGAGGCCCGGTCGGGCGCTGTGGCGCTTTAACAGCGCGGCCGGGCCCTTGCTTTTCGGCAGCACTGGGAGGAAGTGACAGCCGTGCGTCACTTCCTCCCACCGAAACAGGAGCCGCGCAGGGAGGAAGGCGGACCAGCTGTTCCGGAGGGGGGAGAGCTTAACTCCCGGCCACCTAAGCCAGCCCACTGGACCCCAGGGAAGCCACCCTCCAGTAAAAGGTAAGAAACTGGAGGGTGGTTATCAAATTTTGCATGAGTGTCTGTGTGTGTGTGAGTATGTATGTGTGTATGTCTGTCTGTCAGTGTATGTCTGTTAGTGTGCCAGTATGTCTGTCAGTGTATGTGTGCCAGTATGTCTGTCAGTGTATCTGTGTGTCTGTGTGTTTTAGTATGTCTGTCTGTGTGTATGTTTTCCAGAATGTCTGTCAGTGTCCGTGTGGTTCTGTATGTCTGTGTTTGTCAATATGTTTGTCAGTGTCTGTGTGTAGGTGTGTTTTAGTATGTCTGTCTGTGTATATGTGCCAGTATGTCTGTCAGTGTATTTGTGCCAGTATGTCTGTCAGTGTGTCAGTATGTCTGTGTGTGTGAGTCTGTCAGTGTCTGTGTGGTTCAGTATGTATGTGTGTATGTGTGTTTCAGTATGGCTGTCTGTGAGTGTCAAAATGTCTGTATGTGTGTATGTCTGTCAGTGTCTGTGTGTATGTGTGTTTCAGTATGTCTGTCAGTGTGTACGTGTGCCAGAATGTCTGTCAGTGTGTCAGTATGTCTATGTGTGAGTCTGTCAGTGTCCTTGTGGTTCTGTATGTCTGTGTTTGTCAATATGTCTGTCATTGTCTGTGTGTATGTGTGTTTCAGTATGTCTTTGTGTATATGTGCCAGTATGTCTGTCAGTATGTCTGTGTGTGTGAGTCTGTCTGTCAGTGTCTGTGTGGTTCAGTATGTATGTGTGTATGTGTGTTTCAGTATGGCTGTCTGTGAGTGTCAAAATGTCTGTATGTGTGTACATCTGTCAGTGTCTGTGTGTGTCAGTATGTCTGTCTGTGTGTATGTGTGCCAGAATGTCTGTATGTCTGTCAGTGTGTCGGTATGTCTATGTGTGAGTCTGTCAGTGTCCGTGTGGTTCTGTATGTCTGTGTGTATGTGTGTTTCAGTATGGCTGTCTGTGAGTGTCAAAATGTCTATATGTGTGTACATCTGTCAGTGTCTGTGTGTTTCAGTATGTCTGTCTGTGTGTATGTGTGCCAGAATGTCTGTATGTCTGTCAGTGTGTCAGTATGTCTATGTGTGAGTCTGTCAGTGTCCGTGTGGTTCTGTTTGTCTGAGTGTATGTGTGTTTCAGTATGGCTGTCTGTGTGTGTCTCTGTGTCAGTATGTCTGTCAGAATGTGTCTCTGTATCTGTATGTTGTCCGTTTGTGTTTGTGTGTGTATCTGTATATAGTCAGTGTGTATCTGTATGTGTCAGTGTTTGTATCTGTATATCTGCATGTGTGTCAGGTTGTGTATCTGTGTGTCTGTATGTGTGTCAGTGTGTCTATATGTAGTCTGTGTGTATTTGTATGTTCTTGTGTGTATCTATATGCGGTCAGTGTGTATCTGCATGTGTGTCAGGTAGTGTATTTGTGTGTATCTATATGTAGTCAGGGGGCCCAAGTAAATGCTTGCCCAGAGTCCAATCAAAATTAAAGACGGCCCTGGTGATGAGGATAGTTATTGCACACTAATTTTACCAATAGAAAGGGCATTTTATAGCCTTGAAGGAATAGACTGTGTAATCTATGTCATTAGAATCGAATGCTTATCCTCTTGAAAATCCTGCATATGAAGGATTCTCTCCTATTATTCTATTTAACAAGTGCATTTCCAGGCATTATTTGAAGTTAAGTAACGGTTGAGTCTTTTTTTCTGAAATGTCCATACTGGTAATAATAAACTATATATTTCTTTTTATGAAAATAGAAAAGGTGTTGACTGAACAAGAGTGGCTTATTCCAATTGGTGATTAATTCTGCAACTGTAGACACATGTAAACATCAGCTGGTGTTTAATTGAGGGTTAAAAAAAAAAAAAAGCATTACAGTGGGTAAAATGGAGATCTAAAATGTGTTCTTTTTTCTGGTTTCCTTTGTAGTAGGCAAGCTTTAAAGGTTGTAATGTTCCTATGGATTTCTAAAAGTAATTTACTGTAAACTAAGTATAATTCACCTAGAGTAAACTGGGATGTAGGAATTTGGAGCATTTGTTTTATGGGTTGACTGATGTTTAATTTTACAGTTTTCCTATAATAAAATCTTACTTGATTTAAAAAAAAAAAAAAATGTAGCAAATATATTCACTAGGTGTTAATGCTATTCTTATGAATGTTTCCCACTAGAATAATGATATTTGGAGACATCTTATCTCTTTGAATTGATCTATATGATTTATAAAGATTAAGGCATGATATGATCCTATTGTAATAAATATGGATAATAATATTATTGTTTTGATTATTCCCTTGCTTATACTGAGCCTCTTGGAGCCAATATTAACACTCCAGGAGGTGGAATGCAACGTTTGGAAGGAGCAATAAGGCAAAAATAGAGACCACCGTTACAAAGCATAGCTGGAACGTAAATAGGCGCTGCTTGGAACGCAAACAGTGACAGAGGTCACGCGAAAAGGATTACGAAAATACCCTGGAAGCAAATTACTTAAATCTACCACAGTTGAAGATGAAAAGAACGCCCACTGGACTACCAATAGAACAGAGTGACTAGCCCTGCTGCTATTTCCTGTTGAATTACTGTTTATGTATGCTTTTACCTCCTTAAGGACGGACGGAGGCAATTGTACAAGTTAAAAATAAAACTTGGAATTATATGTCTGTTCAACAATAATTCACCTCTTTTATATTAAGTGCACCAATACTTATTAATTATCATTTTGTTCAGGAGAAATAGAGCTTTCATTTCACATCAAATATTTATATATGAAACAGAATTTAATATGAATAAAATCTCTAAAAGTGTGAGAAATTGAGAAATTTTTTTAGTTGGGAATTTTAACTGTGATTGTCATAATACTGTTAGCTTTTACTTCAATAAAATACACAAATTTGTGTTGCGCAATGTCTCACAAATATAACAGTATCCCTCATAGTGTGTATCACGGCGCATGTCTCATCTCATTATGAAGTTTTCAAAAGTTACAGGGTCAAATAAAGAGCTTTTGAAAATTACCCCATAATGGCATACCATATGCAAAAGTAGACAACCCAAGGTATTTAAAATGAGCTATGTCCAGCCCTTTTTAGTTACCACTTAGTCACAAGGGGGGCGGGCCCTGACTCGCAAACTGAACGGTCACTTGGCAGAGGAGCTCCCAGCGCCAAAGCGAATTTTGGGAAAATGCCAGCTGATTTGATGCCAAAAAAGATGCCGGGGTATGCTACCCAAGCTAGGGGCACCCTGGTGAATCGCCTGATACCAGACACAAGCATTTCCCACAAGCACAAACCTGAAGTGGCCCATGGCGACTTGCGGTGGACGGGGATGGGGGGAGGGGGGTGGCCGCTCTCCTCACCTCCAAGCCGGGGGTGCTGAGCCACTGATCGCCCGCTCCCCCCCTCAGGACCGGTGGGGGTGATCCCGGTCCAACCTTGCCAGACAGCTTGGCAAACGCAGAAGCAGAAAACAGAGCCCCACAAGCAACTGCTAGCCACACAGGCGCACAAAATGGCGGACACCATGTGTGACCACAATGGCGGCAGAGAGGGGACCGACATCCTGACATGGCTGGACGCCATCTTCGATGCCTTTTGGGCGAAACTGGCACACAGAGAGCAGCAGGGCAACATGCCAGCGAACCTACCCAGAGAGAGACCCACATGTACCAGCCACAGCCGCGCTGTCTCCCGCCTGAAGGTAACCACAAGATGGCGCCACCGCCATCGACGGAGACTTCTCCCGCCCGCTCGTAAGAGACTGAAACAAGCGGTGATGGCAGCCCGCAGGGACATACAGGCTCTAACCAAACCCCACATGGAACCAAGACACGTTAAGCAACCTCTGAGAGGTAGGCCCCCATAACGACACCAGAACCTGCCCACAACACGGGGAGATACAGCGTACAAAACACCAACTACCTGCAACGCAACTACAGGTACCTATGGCAATAGGAGAACGGGCCTGACACCGGAACTAACACAGCAGAACTGTGCCCTACCCCAGAAGGACTTACATACCCAGCTAAAGCATTTACACCTCTGCAGCCTCCCATTGCATTGGCTAAGCAGCATACAGAGATGACCGTAACAGCCAAAAGACACTCGCAGTATCTACACCACATGGTGCCCTACAAACATACAGGGACATATTAAAGAAATATTGTTTTACTCAACCCTGAAATAGACATGCTTATCTTAACTTAACGGCAAATGCCGATAATACATTGTCCACTACATTGCTCTTGTAGACACACCTGTTCAAAATCAAATCCATGTTATCCTGGGGTTTCCTACCCTGCCAATACGTCCCATGCTTAAGAATAGCCTGTTAAGTGCATAGTAATGTGCCCTGCAATCACAGCTAGTATTATAGTTCACACTATTGAACCTGTTTTCACCTTGTTTAGTTTTTATGTGCCAGACTTAGCCAGGAATGTTTAGCCTGTACCAAACTTAGTGAGCCATGTAGAGACGGCTCCATACTCTCGAAACATTTATATGACAAGCGACATTTTATTAATTATTATTGTTGTTGTTTTTTTAATCTTCATGCCTAGTCCGCCTCTCAGAGTTACCAAAACATGATCCACAGCTCAGACATGAGGAACTAGCCTGTACTCCCTGGTTACCTATTTTAATTGTATTACACCCAGCGTAGCACATTTAAACTTACATTAAAGGCATGACCGCGCATAGCCAGACACTGCGATAGAAGTGTTTAGCTCAGTTATGTAATTTTATGTCCTAGCCTGCTTTACTGTTATTGTGCCCACTGGACAAAGCTTGTCTGTCAGCCAGGAAAGTAGCCTTTTGTTTTTATGAAGCCCAAGAGAAAACCTTGTTTACTTATCTGTTTAAAAAATGTGTGTAGTACCTCTATATTCCACAAACCTGTTTAAACGATGTTACACACATTTTTTAAACAGATAAGTAAACAAGGTTTTCTCTCGGGCTTCATAAAAACAAAAGGCTACTTTCCTGGCTGACAGACAAGCTTCGTCCAGTGGGCACAATAATAGTAAAGCAGGCTAGGACATAAAATTACATAACTGAGCTAAACACTTCTATCGCAGTGTCTGGCTACGCGCGGTCATGCCTTTAATGTAAGTTTAAATGTGCTACGCTGGGTGTAATACGATTAAAATAGGTAACCAGGGAGTACAGGCTAGTTCCTCATGTCTGAGCTGTGGATCATGTTTTGGTAACTCTGAGAGGCGGACTAGACATGAAGATTAAAAAAACAACAACAATAATAATTAATAAAATGTCCTTTGTCATATAAATGTTTCGAGAGTATGGAGCCGTCTCTACATGGCTGTTGTGGCAGAACAAGTAACTGTATTAACTGAATGCACCAAAAAATAAAGAATAAAAAAATTTAAAAAAGAGGGGCGGGGGGGGGGGAACTGACACATGGAAGGAACTGTGTGGGAATTAAGACACATGGAGGGACTGAGTGAAGGTATACCCATTAGTAGGCGGTGGGGTCTGGAAGCCATGCCAAGCAGAAGCAGAAAGTGTGAGCTCTGCAATTATTTGTGATATTTCACAGATTCCCACTGCTTTAACACTGGGTTTCAAATTGATTCTGCAACAGCCTGTTTGGGAGTCCATTAAGGCTTTGTGCCTGTATAATATTCTAGCTGCCCACCTCCGAGGCCTAGTAAGCTATCTGGGTAGGGGAAGCAACCAATCTCCCAACTGGATCAAATAATGATTCCAGTCCACTGCAACAGCTCTACTTTTTCCCCTCCCTGTTCGACCAGTTCACTCTGTGTGTACTCGAGCATTTATTTACACGCTCCCAATGTGTTTGCTGGTGACATTACATGCAGAGTACCCGACATGTGCGACCATACAAGTCGCCTCCAAACACGTGTGTTTTGTGGGTTACTTGTGGGGTTGCGTGTGTGTGATGCTGCTTGTGATGTTGTGTTCCTGTATGTCAATGTATTGAGTTACAATTAATTGTCTTGTTTTACCTATTGTACTGCGCTGCACAATATGTTTATGCTGTATAAGTGATTGTAATAATTGCGCTTGTGTAAGGAGGCTGTATGAGGTATGGCACTGGTGGAGATGCTGCTTGTGATTTTCGTATAGGGAGGCTGCATGAGGTTTTGCATGTGTGGGATGCTGCTTGTGAAATTGTGTGCATACAGTGAGGCTCCTTGTGGGTATGCATGTGTGGGTGGGGCTGTTTGCAGTGTAATATGTGAGTGGAGAGGGGCTGTCGTATGTGTGTAGAATAGAGGCGTAGGCGTTTGGGAATACTGGGGCTGTAGTGTGTATTTGTAGGGATAATAGAGCCTCTACTGTGTGTGGGTGATATAGAGGCTGCAGTATATGTGTGCATGGTGGGGATATGGACTGTAGTAGGTGCAGGGGCCACAGGGACTGTAGTAGGTGCATGGGTGGATAGTGGCTTTAGTGGGTGGAGGAGTAATATGGGATGTATCAGGTGCCCCGCGGTATAGGTTCTGTAGTGGGTCCATTGAGGGATAGGGGATGTACTGGGTGCTGTAAGGGACAAGGCTTCTAGTGGGTGCAGGGAGGGATAGCGGTTTGTTTTGGGTGCAGAAAGGTCTAGGGGTGTAGAGGGTGAGTTGGGTACAGGGAGAGATAGAGGCTGAAGTGTGTGCAGGAAGGCATAGAGGTTGTGGTGGGTACAGAGAGGGAAAGAGGCCTTCGATGGTTGTTGAGGGGGACGGGGACTGTAATGGGTGTAGCAAGGCATAGGGGATATGGGTGGTGCAGGGGGCATAGAGGGTGAAGTGGATACAGGGAGGAGTAGGTCTCATTGAAAAGGGAGGGGGAGACTTACAGTGCAGTAGGTTACAGGGGCATCCTGTAATATGTGATAAATTATGTCTTTCTGACTTGGGGGGGATATCTGATATCCCTAACCAAAGCATGGCTTTTTAGGCATTTTATTTCAGTTTATACATTTTATACTTTTACATTTGACTATTTTAGCCCATTTTGCTATTTACAAAAGGCAAATTCAGTTATATCTACCAAATGTGCATTTTCATTTAGTTGATATCAGTTGAATCTACATAACATTGGTGATTCTGCTATTTATAAATAGCCATACTGCCTTCATTCATT